GCCAGGGGCTCTTCCACCAGAAGCGACAAAAGCTCCGGAAACCAAGGCTGCCTCGGCCACAGGGGCGCTATCAGGAGGAGGGAACACTGATGCTCCCGAAACTTCTGCAGCACCCTGCCCACCATGTTGAAGGGTGGGAATGCATATGCATGCATTCCCTCCCAATCCAGAGACAGAGCGTCCACGGCCCAAGCCCTTGGATCTGGGACCGGAGAGACAAACGTTGGTAACTGATTGTTCAGTGAAGTGGCGAACAAGTCTATGTGAGGCCTGTCCCACACCTGACAAATTCCCTCGAAAATCGAGGGATTCAGTTGCCACTCTGTCAAAACCGGCTGGCGGCGCCTGGAAAGAGTATCTGCCAGAACATTCATCCTGCCTGGTAGATGCTGGACACAAATTGTCAACTGCATTTCCTGACAAAGAAGAAGAATGCGGATAGTGAGGGCACACAGGGTGTGAGACCTGGTTCCCCCGTCTCTCCAGATACGCGACAACCGTAGTGTTGTCCGTAGCCACACAAACCACCTTGGAATGCAGGATCTCCCGAAAAGACTGCAGAGCCAACAGAACAGCCCTCATCTCGAGCACGTTGCTGTGCTCCGAGAGCTGTTCCCCAGACCACTCCCCCGACTGGCAACGCCCGTCGAGATAAGCTCTCCACCCTGTCATGGATGCATCCGTGTACAGGGGGTCATAATGGGAACCGGCTTGGACAAAGGAACCCCTCGGAGAACATTGTCCTGATGAGTCCACCAGCGTGCGTACTCCTTGACCGACTGGTTCAGAGGAAGCAAGGCTTCCCAATCCCTTGAAGAAGGGACCCAGTTGGCAAGGAGAAACATCTGGAGAGGCCTGATGTGAAGTCTCCCTAAGGGGACCACATCGGCCAGGGCGTTGAGATATCCCAGAAAACTGAGAAACCAACGTACCTGGACTTGAGACCGGCCGATAAAGGTCAGAGCAAAAGCCCTGGCCTTCTCGAACTTCTCCATCGGTGGAAGGGCGATGCCCTGAACCGTATTGAAACGGTTCCCCAGAAAAACAAAATCCTGAGATGGGGAAACCTCCGACTTTTCTCTGGAAGGAATGAAGCCGACCTTGAGTAAGAGTTTCAGAACCAACCGGGTGACCTGTACCAGAGACTCTCTCACTAGGTGGAGCATGAGGGAGTCGTCGAAATAGATGTGAACATCTATTCCTCGAGAGTGCAGGAATCCCACGACCACCTGCAGCAGCTTGGTGAAAACCAAAGGTGCAGTCGTGAGCCCGAACGGCATGGCCCGGAACTGGAAGACCTTTCCGTTGCAAGTAAAACGGAGGTACTTCCGTGCCGACTTCTTGATGGGGATGTGGAAGTAGGCGTCCTTTAGATCTACTGAAGTCGCCCACATTCCCTCTCTCACGGAGGCGATAATACCCCGAGGAGTCTCCATCTTGAAGTGAGGAGAATCTACGTGCTTGTTGAAGGCACTTAGATCTATGATGGGACGCCACGCCCCGGACTTCTTCCGAACCAGAAACATTCTGGAGTAGAACCCGGGAGTGCATCCCGACATAGGAACCTCCTCGACCGCGCCCTTGGAAAGCATGGTCCTTACTTCCTCCTGGAGCGCCAGAGCCTTTTCCGGATCCCCCGGTGGAGGAAAAAAGATTGGCTCTGACGCTAAGGGCGGATCCCGCACTAGCGGAATGCCTAACCCCTCCTTGATCACAGACAAGGTCCATGCGTCTTCCGTAATTTCCTTCCACTCTGGAAGGAAAGCAGAAAGACGACCCCCCACAGGAAGATCTGGTCGAGGCAGATCGAGACCTTGCCAGGCAAGAGAATCGTCTGCTGACCCGAAGCCTAATCCTGCGGGAGAAGGACCTAAGCTTGAGCCGAGAGGACTGCATTCCTCCCGGCCAAACTCGTCGTCTGACACGACCAAGGAGGGAAGAAAAGAGTCAGGAACCCTTCTTCTTACCCCCAGGAGGGTTCTTACCCTTCTTACCCTTCCATTTGTTGCCCTTGAAGGGAGGCTTATACTTGGGCTGCGCAGAGGACTGCGAAGCCGAAGGTTTAGCCTTCTTCTTAGGAGGCGCTGACCCCTGCGAGGTACTGGCCTTCTCAGCCTGAATCCTCTTCACCAGAAGTGCAGAGGCGACCGAGTCCTCCTTCAAATCCTTCTGAACAGAAGGAAGGGCCCCTCCAAAAAGAGTGGACCCTGAGAAGGGGGCAGTCAACAGTCTGGAACGGTAAGGCTCATCGACCGGGCGATTTTTCAAAACTGAAAACCGCCTAGCCAACAAGACATTGACGAGGGATGACACCTGTAAAGCTGCCAGCGCTCTCAATGCCCCGTTCAGGGCAGAGGTCACTCTGTCCTGGATGTCGGCCTGCTCTGTCTCGGTAATCCGACCCTCAGGCAAGTCGGATACCCTATANCCATGGGGTTAAACCCATATCCCGGAGGATAAGGGAAAGGTCCCGCGGGCTGGGAGTGACCCCCAGAACTGGCCAAACTGGCCTGCCTGAGACTGGGGTTGGCCAACTTGCCCAAAGGGCGAAGGTGGACCGCCACTCCCTCCAGGTGGAAACCCGGACATGTATGGGCTAAGCCCGTAACTGTCGGGATGCTGCCGCAAACCAAAACCATCCGCAGGCTGGTAAGGGCGGCCCAAGGATGGTTGCCCGCAGGCACCAGTATACCCTAAGCCAGGGGAAAACGGAGGCCGGAAACCGGCCCCCTGTCCAACAAACCCAACACCTGGGGGGAAACCCCCAGGTTCCCAGAAGAATGAAACTCGGGACCGGACATAATAGGACCGGGTCCGGGTAACTGACCGGGAGGGTACGCCTGACCAGCATTGATGCCAGGATTAGTGAGCTGCGCGATGACACTCAAACCAAACCGACAAAACAAAGTTTTGAAATGGAGCAAGCTCCGGGCGTCAGCAGGCAGCAGGCGCCATAAAAGGAAGAGGAAGGGAGATCACTCCGTGGCTCTGTCATCGAGATAGAGGTAACGTCACGGTAGGGAGGTAGGGATATTTGAATCTTTTGTTTTTGGGCTACAAAGATGGGTGTAGGTATTGTATATGCATACTAAAGCTATGGTAAGTATTACTGAAATGAAATTGCTAATTATAGTATGGTGTGTACTTGTTTTCACTGTCGTGATAAATTCGCCTTTATTAAGAAGGATGAAAAAAGGCTGAAATTCAACCAATTTTTTCGGTAAACAGTTTTCACTTTTAAACCTCAATATATACAAGAATTGTAACACTTGACTCTTGAATTCAACGTTTATCGTAATACACGATTCTTGTTTCAACATATGAATATCGTAAAACTTGAATTGGTATTCAATGTGTATGAATATCGTAAAACTGGACTTGGTATTCAATGTATATGAGTATTGTAATTCTCAACCCTTGTATTCAATGTATATGAGTATTGTAAAAATAGACCCGGTAATCAATGTATATCAGTATTTGAAACTCGTACACAATATATATGAATCGTACTTACCCCTTGTACTCAATGTACTTATAGATGAAAAAGGCGAGAGCGATGGCTGCCAGGGCGTAGTACCAGCTGGAGATGAACATCAGGGTAATACACAGCGCCATACCGATCAGAGACAGAACCCTGAAACGTAACACAACACACAGGTCAGATTGTGGTGAAATAAAAAAATAACAGTGTGTATTTCAACAGAATAAATTTAGGTTTATTTGTAAGATATTTCATTCGTATGATGTACTTCTGTATACCAGGACAATGTTTGCCGTAGTTTTACTTTCGCCATTTTTTGCTCTCTGTAATGAGAGTAATGTTCTCGTGACAGCGAAACATTAGTAAACAATATTATTATATATATTAAATATATGTCAAGGGCGAAATTAATTCTGGGCAAATATGGATATCAATGGTAAAGAGAAAAAATTCTGGGTATACAGTAATTACCAGTAAAAGGCATTGAAGCATGGTTGCTAGTGACTGTATTTAAATGTTGAAGAACCTAACAGGTGGTCACCAGTTACAATATTTACCAGACGTTAACTTTGAAGTGTGGCCACCAGTGATGGTATACTTATAATTGGTAAAACCTGAAGCATTGCCACCACTGACAGTACTTAGTAGTGGTAAGATATTAAGTGTGGCCTCTAGTGATGATACTTACCAGTGGTAAAACCTGAAGCGTGCATGGCCACCAATAACAGTACTTACAAGTGGTAAAACCTCAAGTGTGGCTGCCAGTGACAGTATACTTACCAGTGGTAAAACCTGAAGCATGCATGGCCACCAGTAATAGTACTTACCAGTGGTAAAACCTAAAGCGTGCATGGCCACCAGTAATAGTACTTACCAGTGGTAAAACCTAAAGCCTGCATGGCCACCAGTAATAGTACTTACCAGTGGTAAAACCTGAAGTGTGCATGGCCACTAGTAACAGTACTTACTAATGGTAAAACCTGAAGCATGGCCACCAGTAACTGTACTTACCAGTGGTAAAACCTGAAGCATGCATGGCCACCAGTAACAGTACATACCAGTGGTAAAACCTGAAGTGTGCATGGCCACTAGTAACAGTACTTACCAGTGGTAAAACCTGAAGTGTGCATGGCCACCAGTAACAGTACTTACAAGTGGTAAAACCTGAAGCATGGCCACCGGTAACTGTACTTACCAGTGGTAAAACCTGAAGCGTGCGTGGCCACCAGTAACAGTACTTACAAGTGGTAAAACCTGAAGCATGGCCACCAGTAACAGTACTTACCAGTGGTAAAACCTGAAGCATGGCCACCAGTAACTGTACTTACCAGTGGTAAAACCTGAAGCGTGCGTGGCCACCAGTTACGGTACTTACCAATGGTAAAACCTGAAGCGTGGCCGCCAGCTGGGCGTCCTCAGTAGAGTTTGTAGAGCACACGCCATATTAACAAATCCGTAACACATCAGAAAAAACCTTCAACAAACAAAATATCTACAAATATCAAATCAAAATTTATATTAAGCAGGCTTCATTAAATAATTTGAAATGCTGATTTCATACATAACAAATGCACTGTATAACGCTGGCATTTTGGATACTATCTCCCAAAATTTCACATTTACAAATAATTTTTATAACTGTGTTAGATACAAACTTTCAGTGTTGGACTAATTCTGACAACTTCTACACATAGTCATACTGTTTGTGTTTGAATCTTTGAATGTAAATACAAAATGAACATTTCAAACCATATGTACTGTATAAAATGTTCGTTTTATCAGGCGAGAATGACATTCAATTTTCAGCACAACTAAGATATATTGTACATACATGGTGATGATTGGAGCGACGTCGTCCAGACTGGCGATGAGGATTCCAACCTCCGATATGAGCACCGTCATGATTAGGGCTCGAAAGGGCTCGCCTCGCTTTGTGGTTACGCTGAACACCTTGAGGAATGGTATAACTCCATCACTACCGATGGCCTGCAGTAGTCGAGGCGCACCTGTGTCGTGTAAACAAGGTTTTCCTGTCCTATTTATATCAGTTTTCTCTGACAGGATATGGTGAATGTCCAATGTGGACTTCTCACAGGATAACTCATTCACCCCTGAAATTTCATAATGAACTATTCCAACCTTTGGATTGAAAAAGTTCAAATGTGTTTTCAGGGAATCCCGGTCCCACTGCACTGTGGTTTTTCATACCTACAGCAACCTCCCCTTAATTTTGATTTGGATATAACTGTAGTTGGTTACAGTGACAGAATAATAATTTGAGGTCCTTGGTTCCCAGACTAGCCACTCAGAAAACTATTATTTATTTTTTTGTTTGTTTAGTATTTGATCTTTATTATTTTTCATAAAAGCCTCGCATGGTATACTTTTCTTATCAATAATGTGTTATCACAGTTTTAGTCACTTAAGGAAAAATAAATTTTGATTGCATAATTTTCAGTTTTTGGCAGTGGTACAGGGGTCCTTAATTGCCTCTGATGTGTTTACTCCGGAAACATTTCTATCTAGATTCACTCACCATCTGGTGCATTATGTAACATGGCCAAAGGGAAGCAACTCATATCATTGTCTACATTGTCAACATAATTTATCAGGCTGCAAGAAGTTCCAATTCTACTTTAGATTTTCTTTGGTTTGACAACCCCCAGTGTGGACAGACTATTTACACCTGTGAGACTCTGAAGATCCTCCCCCAATGCTGACAGATTACTCACCTGTGAGACTCTGAACACCCGCCTCCAGCATGGACAGACTACTCACCTGTGAGACTCTAAAGGCCTGCCTCCAGCGTGGACAGACTGATCACCTGTGAGACTCTGAAGGCCCACGCCAGGGTGGACAGACTACTCACCTGTTAGACTCTGAACACCCGCCACCAGCCTGGACAGACTACTCACCAGTTAGACTCTGAAGGCCTGCCCCCAGCCTGGACAGACTACTCACCAGTTAGACTCTGAAGGCCCGCCCCCAGTGCTGACAGACTACTCACCTGTGAGACTCTGAAGGCCTGCCACCAGCATGGACAGACTACATACCTGTGAGACTCTGAAGGCCCACCCCCAGTGCTGACAGACTACTCACCTGTGAGACTCTAAAGGCCCGCCCCCAGTGCTGACAGACTACTCACCTGTGAGACTCTAAAGGCCTGCCTTCAGCATGGACAGACTACACACCTGTGAGACTCTGAAGGCCTGCCACCAGCATGGACAGACTACACACCTGTGAGACTCTCAAGGCCTGCCATCAGCATGGACAGACTACATACCTGTGAGACTCTGAAGGCCCGCCACCAGCATGGACAGACTACATACCTGTGAGACTCTGAAGGCCTGCCACCAGCCTGGACAGACTACTCACCAGTTAGACTCTGAAGGCCTGCCCCCAGTGTGGACAGACTACTCACCTGTGAGATTCTGAAGGCCCATGCACCTCCAGCGTGGACAGACTGATCACCTGTGAGACTCTGAACACCCGCCTCCAGCATGGACAGACTACTCACCTGTGAGATTCTGAAGGCCCATGCACCTCCAGCGTGGACAGACTGATCACCTGTGAGACTCTGAAGGCCTGCCTCCAGCGTGGACAGACTACTCACCTGTGAGACTCTGAAGGTCCACCTCCAGCGTGGACAGACTGATCACCTGTGAGACTCTGAAGGCCCACCCCAGGGTGGACAGACTACTCACCTGTGAGACTCTGAAGGCCAGCCCCCAGAGTGGACAGGAAGGAGCCTACCAGGATGACCCATTCATTAGGCCAGGCCAACTTGGCCACCAACAGACCTCCATTGATGCTGGCACCATACCTGGAAAGTGAATCTTATTAATAAAGAGTTAACAGCCCACATAAATCCCTTTTATGATCATCAAAGCTATTACTTTTAAACCTTTTACCAGTATATAATTATACCTTATCATTTTCATATTGATTTCTTCATATGGCAATGACATTAGCAATCTTCCAGACTTCCAGTAATTTTTTAAATTGTGAAAGCTAATATAAATCAATGCAGCCAAACCTGCTCTAGAAACAACCTCTATTAAGAGACCACCTGTGTTTATAGAGACCACTCCTAGAAAATTCCCCACTGCTTTTATTTTCATGCTTATTGAACCTGTGTTAACTCATTCACCCCTGAATATACATTTGAACTCTTCCAATTCATTATGAAATTTCAGGGGTGAATGGGTTAAGAGACCACTTTATGGACTTCCCAAAGGTTGTCTCTGATTACAAGTTTAACAGTACTGGATGCATTTTAAATTTGATAATTTATTGATAATAATAATTATTTGAGATTCTTATATACAGCTTTATCACAACCTAGTTCATAGGTCGTCTCAAAGCGGTTCACAAATTATTATACGTGGTTATAGGGCCTTTGCAACAGCCAGTGCTGCCATTTCGGTGCTCACAGCTAGCATTCTACAATTCTAGCACTGCCCAACCACGTACTCATTTACAGCTGAGTAGACTGGAACAAGTAGAGTAAAGTATCTTACTCAAAGACACAACACAGTGCTGTGCCGTGACTCAAACCCGCAACCCTTCGGTGACGAGCCCAGCGTCCTACCACTAGACTACTGTGCCTCCTATAATTTGATAACTTAATGATTCTGTTCCATCATCCTAATCCACTGCTCATGTCTGTTATAATTAATTTTCAGCTACAGTTGTATTTGTTGCATCTTAATTTGTAGATTTAAAAGCAGTAAATCTGTTTATTGATGACACTTACTTGTCTCTGAGTAGGTCCCCCTCCACTGTGCCAGCAAAGAAGATCACACTAGTGATGTCTACAGGGGGATCAGGATTCTAATCAATATCATTTGATAAACATTCATATAATTTAACTTTTTTTTTTTCTTTTTTTTTTTTGGCAATTTTAGACTGTTACATTATTTGTGACATCATTAAAAGATGCTGTTTCGGAATGCTGTTTACATATCTCATGTTTTTCCTACTGTGCCGATTCTCATGTTTTCCCTACTGTGCCGATTCTCATGTTTTCCCTACTGTGCCGATTCTCATGTTTTCCCTACTGTGCCGATTCTCATGTTTTCCCTACAGTGCCAATTCTCATGTTTTCCCTACTGTGCCGATTCTCATGTTTTCCCTACTGTGCCGATTTTCATGTTTTCCCTACTGTGCCAATTTCCATGTTTTCCCTACTGTGCCAATTTTCATGTTTTCCCTACTGTGCCGATTTTCATGTTTTCCCTACTGTGCCGATTTTCATGTTTTCCCTGCTGTGCCAATTTTCATGTTTTCCCTGCTGTGCTGATGTTTTCTCCACCACTACTGTTTAAATGATATCCTAACTGTACTGATGCCACTGTTTATTACATGGTTACATTTTGAATGTTTTCTTAATTTTCACGATTCTGATATTTTCTCCAAATTGTTCTGATTCTCATATCTCCAAGGGAGTCACAATATACAATGACAAATAATTTAATTTTAAGTTCATATATTCTTAATACCTTATGATTTATTTTTCTTTAATTCATGAAATAATAATTTCAATATACTAAGAATCTGTGTATGTGCTTTATTTTTTATTTTTGATGAAGTCCTCACCCACCCCCACCTCCCAACCCCTTCCCCTATTACTGGTGGTATACCATGCCCTATAGGTTTCAGCTGTCTAGGTTAAGGATACAGACAAATGATGTTGTTGCTATGGCAGCGATGGTACCAGTTGGTATGGACCTGGAAGCATCAGCCAAGTCTCCAGATCTATTGGACCCTGCCATGATACCTGCAAGGTTAGAGGTCAAACATGAAAACATCCTAATGTAGTTAAGGATTTATGTTACCTTATAAAGATCTGCACCTCCAGTCAAAAAGAGTTCTAAAATCAGAAATCAACGTTTAAGACCACTAGCCTTGAACACTACAATGGATTTGATACATAAGGTCACCTTGGTACAAAATACCAGCCCCTTCCTACTGACTTGACTAAGGAACACATCTCTTTAGCTCATTCTGTAGAGACTAGTACACTAGAGGTCATGGGTTCCACGGTCCTAGCGGAGGCATTGAAAAAAACAATGACTTCTGTTACACATATTTGAAATGTACAAAAATGTGCATGTGTTTATAACATTTAATAAATAAACAATCACCATGAAACCATACTAAGAAATTACTAATTTTTGTGGGGTTTTTAATTTCATCAATTTCGTGGGTAATCTTCAATGAATTCCTAGGTCTGCAAAGTAACTACAAGTTTGATATATAAAGCCATTCTCTGTTTGAGTGGGTACTAATCCACGAATTCATCTACCCACAAAATGGTTTTTTTTGTCTGGAAACCACAAAATTTGGGCCACCTCAAATATATCTGATTTCACAGTACTAACATGGCATTACAGATGATACCGATACACTTGTGATTAAAAGTGATCAGAAATACTTAGTGTGTTGGGCAGCTAACATCATATTTAGTTTTGAGAACTTTAACTCCTGCAAGGGATGATGTCTGTACCACAATTATATAAAAAGTTTCATGACAGTTAAATCAGAAGTTGAATTATAATGTCATCCACGACAGGTACCCGACTAAAACTTGAGGAACTGTGTGCGATTTACAGAGATAAACCCCCGGCTTGCACTTCAATGTTCGTGGAGAAGAAATTTAGAGTTTCAAGGGCCATAACTCCAGGAAACATAATTGGATCACAATTTCCTTTCTTCATGCACATTTAAATATCATGTAATTAAATGTACTCAATTTGTGCCAAAATTCCAACAAATTGTTAAAAATTCAACACAAGTGTTCGGAGGAGTTACGCTGACAAGAATCAAGGACAGAGGGACGGATGGACAGGATGATTCCTATGCTTACAGTATATGAACCAACGACGGAACCATTTGGGTTTCAAAGACATAATAATATTAAACTCCATATTTTGGTAGCCACTTACCTTATATGTATTTCCAGTGTTTAACTACAAAGACAAACATATATCCAGTTCTCACCTGTACAGGAGGGGAAGTAGATAGCTAGGAGAACCATGAATGATGACGTAATGTCGGCAATGATTTCGGCCTGCGATACACTGCTCGTGTCCGTACCAATGATCTTATCTTTCCTTGTGTACCTGTTGTTCAGGTTCGCTGAAAAATATTGTTTGTGAAAATGACCTTATTGTCTTCTCTCTGAAAATGTTAAAATCTGCCACCAAAATCACAACAGTGTAAAAGCCTTTTTTCAGTCTTTAATTGGCATGAATTTGCGAAACTTGACAAATTTGCGGGATACCTATTTAGAAGATTTCTGATCTAGCGGCCAACCTGCTATAGCATACGTATATATGAACTAATTTGTTGTTAACTTTGTGGGCTGTTTATGATATTTTGCAGAAAATCATGAAAATTAGAACTCTGTGAGAAAAAGATCCCTGGACAGTATCAATATCTATGATCTAAGGTAACGCTGTGTGAATGAAGGATTTTGTCTAAGATGGAAAAATAAAATTGACACTGATGTTACATTTTACCAAGGTGTCAACCTCTGAAACCTCCAATGAGGGAGATCTCCCTCATTACACATTTCCAAATAGTGAGAAAGTGCATGAAACGCGACTGAAACTGCTTTGCTAAAACTGCTTTGATCAATTTATTTTCCCTTTCCCAAAAGGCATTTATTTGATTCAGACACACCTGTTATTATCATTACACATACACTGCAGTAACTAGGTGATCACTTGACCACGGGATGTAGGTTTTTAGTTTGTGTGAGTTTGGACTTGAATGAGGGAGTTTCAAAGGGGGATTGCCAAATTTTGGTCAAAATGATGGAGTCTCCCTCCTAATGAGGGAGGGTTGACAGCTATACATTTAACCAATTAAGTACAATTCTGGAAAGTTAAATAGTGTGAACATTCTAAAATCTTATTAAGAAATCGGAATAAAAAATACACAATTCCAGCTGTTTGACTTCATTACGTCACCCCAACTGAAATTTTCAATTACATGTACAATATTGGTGTTGTTGTGATTTTGAATGTTTGATGATTCAGTGGACAACCCTATAAGTTAAATGGGAAAAGTAACTTAAAAGTAATCAATTATCTGGATAAACCATGTACATGTAATGCAAAATTACAACTAGTTAATCAGGTTTAACATTGTCTTACTGTCAATAAAAAATTGCACACTATCATACAAACTTCATTAATTACGTTCTTATTCAACCCTGAAATTTCATAATGAACTATTCCCACCTTTGAATTGGAAGAGTTCAAATGTGTTTTCAGGGGTGAATGAGTTAATAGATCTCTCTGCCATATCCAGGTGCTCATATAAAATGAGGACTTACCGACAAAAACGCCGCTACCAAGACCAGGGATTCCAGGTATGGTCTTGGCCTGATGGTCCTCCAGGTAGTCCCCCCGACAGTCAGTCGTCCCGTTGAAAACAGTGCAATAGGTTGAGAAAATACCTCCGGAAATGTTTGGACTCTTGGAACACATGAACGTCCCATTGACCTCCACTATTTTGGATGACATCAGCCGGTCCCCTAACGTACATATACTGCAACAAAATCAACCGGTCAGTTGGTCATTCAAAATGTATATACTGCAACAAAATTGACTGGTCAGTGGGTTACTTAATATGGATATACCGGTACTGCAATACAATTGACCGGTCAGTCGGTCACTTAATAAACATACTGGTATACTGCAACAAAATTGACCAGTCAGTAGGCCTTTCAAAATGCATATACAGCAACAAAATTATCTGGTCAGTCGGTCATTCAAAATACATACATGTATACCGTAATCAAATCAACCCGTCAGCTGATAACTTATAAAGGACTAGTGGTAAGTCTACATCTATAACTCGGTTTCTACTACTGTTCTACTGACCGGATTGAGAATACATTAGTCCATTAAGCTATCTAATAGGAAAGATCACTAGGACTTGGCTTATCTTTCCTCAGTTTCTAGTGCCACTGCTGATTTTGTGGTTTGTTAAAGGGAAGTAACTCTACAGGATCCGATATTGATCGGTTCTAAAGAGGACTTTCTTTTCTTATTCTGTTATTAAATCTGCATTCACCCCTAAAGACACATTTGAACTCTCCCAATTAAAATGTTGAAATAGACCATTATGAAGTTTCAGGGGTGAATGAGTTAATATTATAAGATTAGTCATTCAATTCTACTACCTAACTATTTTCTTAAACCATTCTATCAACGTCAAAGAAATACATTTTTAGACTGGCTATAACAGTAGCACTCGGTAAGCTTTAAACATCCAAACAAACATGTATATTCTCTATTCGATCAATAATCAAGATATGACTTCTCATTCATGCAATGGTTTCTGTTACTGTAAAAAAATAAAAGTTAATTTAGCAAGTTGCTCTAAGGTATGAACTATAAATAACATACATAAAATGTCTGTGATAGAACAAAGGGCACTTTGTCATATTAAATGTAAGTGTTTTAAATGGAAAAGAAAATGCAATGTTCAAAACAAGGATTTTAAACCTGAACTTCGAATTCTCGATGGCTGTTCCATCCTATGAGCAATATTGTATACACTGACAATTGGATCATTTTTAAGTCATTACAAGTCATTTGACATTCAATGTTTACAAAATTAATGAATAATTATAATTTATATTTATATTTAACTTAATTTCAGTATCAGTAAAAATCTCACAGACTCCAAAAATATCCAAATTTTATGAAAGGAAGGAAAGTTAAGGATAAGTAACAGTTCATTTCATCAAACCCTCCAGTCAGTATGAAAGGTACCACAGATACAAATACAAATGTATATATAGTCACTCAAAACCCCACAGCACAACATTACAATGTTAGTGATTGGAAACAGTTAGAATTCTGAAGAACATGAATCCCAGACACCACAGCTAGATTTGATAATCCCATTTCATAGCGTCAATCTCAAGAAAATCAAAACAGGAAGATCTCCCATTTTGCATGAACCATTTTTGCAGCCTATTTGTGGTGAAATCTAAGTTGTCAACTTATATAAATAATACCAACTGAAAATTATAAAGAAATCAAAACAAATCTGTAACACAAACAGAGAGTTATCCTTTAAAAGGGGGATATAACGGGGAAACAAATCTCATTGTCTTCTCGGGGAGATTATTTCTTGGGGATAAACGACCAAGAAATGGAATCTCCAGCATAGAAGGAGATACCAGACATATGTGTCATTACCATTATCTACAACAAGATGCCCAAAGGGCCTGTATCGCTCACCTGAATATTTAAGCAATCATGGCAAAAGATTCTAAATGAAAGCAGTATGGCAAATAAGATTCTAGGGATATGGCCATATGACCTGGGCCACCAGGTCCCCATAACCCTGACCTGAATAAATCATGACCCCATAATCCTGACCTGAATATGTCATGACCCCATAACCTTTGACCCTGAATAAATCATGACCTTTATAGTGTTAATCTGAATTTATCATAACCCCTTATCCTAGACCATGATCCTAATCATGGTTTAGATTGGACCTTATACTTGTCACTGGTTTATTATATTTGTAAGAACTTTTACACACATCATATTTGCAAAATAATTAGTTTCTTCTAGAGCTACAGGGAGCAATGCATTTCATCAAGTCATTGATTCTTCTGACATCATTTCTATTTGCCTGCTTTATGAATTTATCAATAACCACAACTATAAAACAAATTGTTCATTGTTCAAACTCTACATTGAGACTGTATCAAATAAATATATTAGATAAAGGGGTCATACCAAACAATATATATATATTTTTAGAGTGTGTGGGAAGGGGTTGTTTCGAGGAGGGGTTATACATATAACTTGTGGGGATTGTCTCAAACGTGATTTGGGATGTTATCTCAAACATAACTTGGGTAGGTCTCAAATGTTATTGGGATATTCAAACACAAATTGGCGGTTGTCTCAAACACAGCTTAGGGGTTGTCTCAAACATAATAATCTTCAAAACAACTTGGGGGTTGTCTCAAACATGATAATCTCCCAACACAACTTGGGGGGTGTCTCAAACATGATAATCTCCAACACAACTTGGGGGTTGTCTCAAACATGATAATCCCCAACAAAAATTGAGGGTTGTCTCAAACATGATCATCTCCAACACAACTTGGGGGTTGTCTCAAACATGATAATCTCTAACAAAACGTGGGTGTGTCTCTAACATGATAATCTCTAACACAGCTTGGGGGTTGTCTCAAACATGATAATCTCCCAACACAACTTGGGGGTTGTCTCAAACATGATCATCTCCAACACAACTTGGGGGTTGTCTCAAACATGATTATCTCCAACACAACTTTGGGGATGTCTCGAACATGATAAACTCCAACACAATTTGGGTTTTTTCTCAAACATGATAATCTCCAACATAACTTAGGGGTTGTCTCAAACATGATAATCTCCAACACAACGTGGGTGTGTCTCAAACATGATAATCTCCAACACAACTTCGGGGTTGTCTCAAACATGATTATCTCCAACACAGCTTAGGGGCTGTCTCAAACATGATAATTTCCAACACAACATGGGGGTTGTCTCAAACATGACAATCTCCAATACAACTTGGGGGTTGTCTCAAACATGATTCTGATGTTTTAACAAACATGACTTAAAGGACAGTTTAAATGAGTTTTAATGATCTAAGGACCAAATAATTAACAAGAGGCCCATGGGCCTTAACGGTCACCTGAGTCTATAGTATTTATTTTTGTTGTTGAAATATGTACCAATTTGAGTAAAAAATAGTATAATGTTAACTTAACTTTGTCAGGACCATGAGCTGATCATTCCTAGACCAATTTTAAGTGAGATCGGCCTATTAGAACTTAGTAGCAAAATAGCGGCCATGGCAGCCAAATTGTATTTCTGATTGACCCGAAAAATAACAACACTTTGTCAGGACCATGATTCGATCATTCCTACAAAGTTTCAGTTCAATCGGCCAAGTAGATCTTTACTTTAAGTTTGAAATAGTTT